CGTGGGGTGCATGGTATTATAGTTATAAATATTTTTCTGACAGATATAAGTAGAAGAATTATTATTTCAATAATATCTTAAAAAGCACCCCGAGCTTTTTTTACAATAAAATAAAATTTTTTACACAATTTTCAATTTTATTAAAATTTTATTTTCTATTTTTTAGTTTAATTTTATATAAAGCGTGTTTTGTAGTTTTTTTAAAACAATTTTTTTTTTCTTTTGTAACAATTTTGAGCGTCTATTCCATTCGAAAACCGATCGCACGTCCATTCCCAAATGATTCTGAATGAATGATCAATCAACAATGAATAATAATTCATTTGAATGCCGGACATGAAGACGTAAAAAGTCAAACACGCCGTTTTAAAAATTAAAATCTAAAACAGCTATATTTACATAAAACGTTCATTCTAACAAATCACATGTCAGTTTTTCTAGCGATAAGTCAATCAACGCGCATATTTACCCATGTCTAGTTAAACCCCTAGTGTAGAAAACTAAAACCAATAATGTAGCGTTGCCAACTTTTTCTTCATAAATTTAAGAAAAAATGAATTACTTTTTAATTAGTTTTAGTTGAGGACATAAAGCCTAGTAATTAATGCAGATTAAAGGGCCGAAATCGTGTCTGATAATCCTTTATCACCTGTCTAAATCGAAAAAAAAAAAACAAATTAATAAAGTTAATTAATGTCTGCTTTCTCCCCACACAATAATTCTAGTACAGTTTTAGATCGATATTTTGAAAGACTGTTGGAGCTGTTGTTTAATATTTTTTGTATTGCTTAGATGGGTGGACAAGCTCACAGCCCACCTGGTGTTAAGTGGTTACGGGAGCCCATAGACATCCACGACGTAAACCTTGAGATATATGTTTTTTTTTTTGATTGAAGGATTACTGGCTGCCCGGAGGCCTTTCCAGTTTCACCAGGACAGGTGGGCGAGCAAAGGCTCAGCCACAAGGGGCGGGATTTGTTAACAGCTGCCCGAGCGCCTCCGAAGAAGACCTAACAGCTCAAGAGCAGCTGTTTCGCGAATCAATATAAGTTCTAAGGTCTCAAATATAGTTACAACGGCTGCCCCACCCTTCAAACCGAAACGCATTACTGCTTCACGGCAGAAATAGGCGGGGTGGTGGTACCTACCCGCGCGGACTCACAAGAGGTCCCACCACCAGTAAAAAGATCTTTAGATATCTCTTCTTCTAACATAACAGTTAGTTCTTGCAACATCACAAAGGTGGACTTGTGGGCAGCCGTTGTAACTATACTGAGATCTTTAGAGCTTATATCTCAAGGTGGGTGACGTATTTACGTTGTAGATGTCTATGGTCTCCAGTAACCACTTAACACCAGGTGAGCTGTGAGCTCGTCCAACCATCTAAGCAACAACAAAAATAAAACAGGTACATTTTCTCAACAAATTATTAACTCGTGATTTCTTTGCTGTTTTTGAGAATTCATTCTTCCGCACCTTCGATCAACAATAGTAACTAGATTTCGGGTCGGTGCATAAAATCCGTCTCGTCAAATAACAGCTCACTTGAAATGTGAGCTGTTATTTTGTTTAGTTCACTTCAAACACAGCCAATGTCAACCCGTCTCACAATGCCGCAGTGTGTATTCAAAAGTTGCAAAAATAATGCCCGAAAAAGCAATTTAACGACCGGGGTATCTTACTTTCGGTAAGTACATGAAGTATAAACTATATTTTAAGCTTTAAACTTATAAATAATATTAAATTTTGAACAAAATTACCGATTTTTAAACACCGCTACAAATGTTGGCCAAGGCTCGGCCAACTCATGGACAAACTTTTGCTTAACAGAACAGTAAATGCATGGAAATGATTTGTGTTGTAATAATTTTTTAAAATTTGTTAGCAGTACTTCAAAATTAGTTGGTTAAAATTGTTTAATGCTGCTTTTGTGTCTGTTTGTTGGACTCTCATTAGATACTTAGCTTTCCATTTTTATTTTAGCTTTCCTAGCAATCACGTGTGCAGAATGGATCTCGATTGTCGCCAGAGAAACAAGAGATGACTTTTATAAGCCAGNAAAAAAAAAAAAAAAAACCTGTAATAGAAGATTTTGCTCAACAGAAATCCCGAAAGAAACCGTTATCGAAATCGTAACTAAAAAAACCAGCAGCATTCTAATATCATTAATGACCTATTATATCATACTGTATTTGATTACCTATAATAAATGGTCATACTCAGTAAAAAAATGTTATTATAATTCGCTTTTTTTACTTTCCAAAAGGGCCTCAAATTCTTGTGTGCCCAAGGGCCCCATCCTAGTTTAAGACGTCCCTGGTCCATTCCCAAATGATTCTGTGTGCTTAGTGGGAGTTATTTAACGATCTCGATAGCGTAAAAGTTAGCCCAATTTCGTATGCAGTTGGAACAGAGGCAATCGTAGCCAAACGATCCCATTTCATACAAATATGAGTTAACTTTTACGCTATCGAGAACGTTAAAAACTCGCACTAAGCACACTGAATGAATGATCAATCAACAATGAATTCATTCGAATGCCGGACGTGAAAATATAAAAAGTCAAACATGCGTCAAACACGGCGTTTTTAAAATAAAAAACTAAAAAAGTTATTTGCATAAAACGCTAATTCTAACAAATCACGTGCCAGTTTTTCTAGCGATAAGTCAATCAACGCGCATATTTACCCATGTCTAGTTAAACCCCTTAATGTAGAAAACCAAGACCAATGTAGCGTATCCAAATCATAATGTAGCGTTGCCAGCTTGGGACTTTTTCCTCATAAATTTAAGAAAAAATTAATTACTTTTTAATTATTTTTAGTTGAAGCGACGGTATTACACCATAAAGCCTAGTAATTAATGCAAATTAAAGGGCCGATATCGCGTCTGATAAACGAAAGTCTTAATCGAAAAAAAAAAAAAACAAATGAATAAAGTTAATTAATGTCTGCTTTCTACCCTCCCCACACAATAATTCTAACACAGTTTTAGGTCGATATTTTGAAAGACTGTTGGAGCTGTTGTTTAATATTTTTTGTATTGCTTAGATGGGTGGGCAAGCTCACAACCCACCTGGTGTTAAGTGGTTTCGGGAGCCCATAGACATCTACGAAGTAAGCCTTCGTTTAACTTTTTTTTTTTTTTTATGCTTGAAGGATTACTGGTGGCCCGGAGGCCTCTCCAGTTTCACCAGGACAGGTGGGCGAGCAAAGGCTCAGCCACGAGGGGCAGGATTTGTTAACAGCTGCCCGAGCGCCTCCGAAGAAGACCTAACAGCTCAAGAGCAGCTGCTTCGCGAATATTGCTGCTGGTTGGCTGGTGGTTGGCCTGAGGGGCATACTAGAGGCGGCATAGTGACGATAGTTTCGGACTTGAGGGTCCTAGCTAGTCGCCAGTATGCTTGGTGAGTGGGCGCGAGTTCTTCTAAGTAACTATCCCAATTCTCATTTCGGGCGTCGCTTAGGCGGGATTTGACCTCCCGCTGTAGGCGACGCATCCGAATCCGGTTTGAATCAATGGGATATCGATCGTAGGCCCGGATTGCCGCGTTCCTGACTCTTAAGAGATCCCTGAGCTCGGGGGAAAGTCTGATGCGGTGGAAGCAGTCCTCCACATCGACTTGTTTTGAAGACCTTATGATCGCGGTCGAGACGTGTTCGGTAAGGATGTTTATGGATTCGACTGTGTCCTCGGGGGATGGAGTTGAATCCGGGCCGCAGGGGAGGATTGGTGGAGCGGCGTCAGCTAAACATGTGCCCAGCTTCTTCCAATCCACCATGGTCCTCGTAATTGGTTCGTGGTTGAGTGGGCGACCGAGCTGCATGACGACAGGTCGGTGGTCCGAGTCGAGTTCTGACATTGCCTCGATGGAGCGCAAGCGCAGAGTTACGTTCCTAAGCAGTGCCAGATCTGTTGTGCTCGGACGACGCGCGGTGCTGTACGGATAGCACGTTGGGGTCGGGGGGCTGACTATTTCGAATGTGAGGTCGTCTATGAACGCGTCGAGACGCCTACCGTTCACATTCGTGCGTACATATTACAAGATACAAAATAATATATATACATACATACAAATACACACACACATATATATATATACACACACATACATATACATTTTAGATACGCCCCAAAATTTTTGGTCGCCGCGCGTTTTTCTCTTGGAGTTTTGGGATGTGAGCTTCGAAATTCAAATGTTCAGCCCTTGTCGAAGCAAATCTTGAAGATTGAGAGATGACATGTCATTGTTTACGGATTGATTCTGACGGGTCACAAGGGGTAAGTGAGACTCCAACGTAATAGAGGTTTTTTTATTGCCATTATGGGTGGATGAGCTCACGGCCCACCTGATATTAAGTGGTTACCGGAGCCCATAGACATCTACAACGAAAATGCCGCCACCCACCTTGAGATATGAGTTCTAATATCTCAGTATAGTTACAACGGCTGCCCCACCCTTCAAACCGAAACGCATTACTGCTTCACGGTAGAAATAGGCGGGGTGCCGGTACCTACCCGTGCGGACTCACAAGAGGTCCTACCACCAGTAAAAGGTTTTTAGCCAGGCTTAGCTTAATGGTGTCTGTTGGGCAAAATTTAGTTTCAAAACGCGATAATGCATCCGCTATTAAATTTACAGAACCGTTAATGTGTTTTAAGTCGGTTGTGAATTGTGTTGAGTTACCTACCCTTGCGGACTCACAAGAGGTCCAACCACCAGTAAAAACAAAAATATATTAAATACTACTACTACTACTACTACTACTACTACTACTGAAAATGTGTGTGTACAAAATATATTAAATAAATAAAAATAAAAATAAAATTCGAACGACACACACCGAAGCTGGCCACATTATTATTTCATCATCGAAAAAAAAACTAACGTGGACATAAAAGTGAATGACTAACTGAAGCATTGTTCATTCGTGAAACGGTATACATAAGATACCAGAAGTACTACTACTACCTTGCTGAATCACATTCCGTGAACAAAGATGGTTCTGATTGCACCGGCTCTATTCGTGAATCACGGAGGCGGTGCCCGGCCGCTGCTGGGCGACAAAGACCACGCCAAACTAATAGAATTCTTTACGAACGACGTGAAAAAGCTCGTAAACTTAAAAGCACTGAAGGCGATAATACTGGTCACGGCGCACTGGGAGGAAGAGGTCGTTACCATTTCATCCGGCAAACATCACGATCTATACTACGATTATTACGGTTATCCGCCCGAAGCCTATGAATACAGATACGACGCACCCGGATATCCTGAATTGGCCAATGAAATACACGAAAAACTAAAAGAATCCGGTATAAACTCCAAATTGGATGACGAACGAGGTTGGGACCATGGACTCTTCGTTCCGATGCGCTTAATCAATCCCGCCGCCGACATTCCGATAGTACAAGTGTCCGTCCTGAAGAATCAAGATCCCAGGAAGCATTATCAGTTAGGGGAAGCGCTACAGAAGTTCCGCGCGCAAGGCATCGCCATTATCGGGTCCGGAATGACTTATCACGATTTTATAAAGATCAAATCGCATTGCTACCAGGACCAAGTCGTAAACAAGGAGTTTGATTATTATCTGAATACTGTATGCACTGCTGGAGGTGAGAATGCGAGACGGGAGGGCTTGCTAGCTTGGAAACAGCAGCCTGGAGCGATAGAGGCGCATCCTGATGGAGCCGCCGAGCATCTGATGCCTCTGATCGTGGTGGCCGGCGCCGGAGGGCCACGTCCGGCCGAGAGAGTCTTCAACTGGGACATGCTCGGCACATTCAGGTTGAGCTCCTTCATATGGAAGGATCTGTAACGAAGATCTGATTGAATACGGCGTAACTATACTTGAGACCTTAGAACTTATATCTCAAGGTGGGTGGCGCATTTACGTTGTAGAGGAGGTGAGCTTCTCGCCGCGTAAGTGTGCCTATTTAATTATATCAAAGTCCGACCACCGGTTTTTTAAGTTTTTTATTATTATTTTTTATTGCTTACATGAGTGGACGAGTTCACAGCCCACCTGGTGTTAAGTGGTTACTAGAGCCCATAGACACCTACAACGTAATTGCGCCACCCACCTTGAGATATAAGTTCTAAGGTCTCAAGTATAGTTACAACGGCTGCCCCACCCTTCAAGCCGAAAGGCATTACTGCTTTACGGCAGAAATAGGCGGGGTGGTGGTACCTACCCGTGCGGACTCACAAGAAGTCTCTACCACCAGTAATTGCGCAAATTATAATTTTGCGGGTGTGATTTTTATTACACGATGTTATTCCTTCACCGTGGAAGTCAAGGGAGTTATACTAACGTGACCATACGTCCCGCTTTGTGGGGGACTGTCCCTGCTAATTTATGTGTAGGAAAGTAGTTTTTTGTTGCGAAATTATTTATGTGTGTATTTAGTGTAAGGATTAAGATGTCAGCGAGGGTAAGATACCATAATAAATTATTTCAAGTCATTTTTTAAACCATATTTTTTATTTTCCACTTAAACATAACATATTACCCCGACGTACCCTATATAACTATTTATTTATAAACGAAATAACGTAGGCGTTCCAATATGACACGAAAAAAAAAATTCACGTTAGTTATCTATATATTCCCCCCGGTGAAGGTCAAGGGGCGATCTGAGGGGGTAGAGGCCGCTCGGCGCGCTACCAGCACACTAGCGCGCTGCCGAGGAGATTCGAAAGAGCAACCGGTTGGCGGTGTATGGCGTCCCGACCCGGCAGGCCTGTTCTGGTCCAACGGGGTATTCCGGGACACCAGCAGCACCGTCTGGGCGGCCTGACGGGTTGCCGTACCGAGACGGCCGACGTTAAAGAGCCTTCGATTCGCCTCGAAGACTCCGTCGGCTGGGCGTCCTTGGGATGAGTCGCACCGTCTGGTTGTAGTGTTGACCGCGGTAACCCCCCTACCTCATCCGGGTTCTGACCTTGGAGGGGATCGGACGCTTGGGCGAAGAGTGCAGGGGAGTCGTTTAGTGGGTGGACCCTAAAATTCCATGGGCCCACGGTCTGCTCACAACACCTTGCAGACCGTTGAGTCCCACATACCCCGCGCGCCCCCTAGGCGCGGGGACCTAGTAGGGGTTCAGCCCTCGGCACGAAAAAAAAAAAAATATCTATATATTAATACGTGAAGCAAAAACTTTGTAACCCTTTTTACGAAAATTGCGCGGTCGGAGGAGTATGAAAATTCCCACACTTATAGAGAATTTAGAGAAGGAGTGCAGAAAGCTAACATTTTTTTTTTAATTATGTTTTAAAAATCACTTAACTCTAGATAGGCCGTTAGCTCGTCCACCCATCTAAGCAATGAAAAAAAATACATACAGATATCTAATTCCCGGACAAATATCAAACAAACCTCGTCACACGAATGCTTGCCGGACGTCGTTAGAAAAATGTTTTTCACGCGCATGTTTATTAATGAATTATGAGATTCGCTTATCGCATTTAAACAATGATATCGAGGGGCGAAAGGCTGTCTGAATTAAGCGGCATTTCGCTTAACACGCGACATTTATCTTTGTAATTAAACGTCCGTTTTATTTGGTATTAGCGACCCGCCCTCGCTTCGCTTCGGAAACATTAAATTTTATTATTGATAGTTGAGTCCCTTAAATCAAGTGGTATGGACATGTGATGCGTAGAGAGAAGATCCTTGTGACTAGGAGATTTAGGGAAATGTAGGAGATGTATGGAAATGGTAGTGCAAGGGAGAGGGGGAAGAGGTCGTCCGAAGAAGACATGGATGGTGTGAATGACGATATGAGAGAGAGAGTAGTGAGTGTCGAGATGACGGCTGACAGAAGAGAATGGAATAGAAAAATTAGCTGTGCCAACCCCACCCAGTGGGATAATGTGGAAAAAAAGAAGAAGAGTTGGATCCCGCGATGTTACCCGCGGTTATTGTTGTACCGCGGGTGACGCCGCGAGGCGAAGCTAGTCTAAAAAAAGTTGGCAGCGGCTTGGCTCTGCCCCTGGCATTGCTGAAGTCCATGGGCGACAGTGACCACTCACCATCAGGTGGGCCGTATGCTCGTATGCATACAAGGGCAATAAAAAGTTAATTTACTCCTTATATCATCAGCTACCTATCAGTGAAAGTCTCGTCAAAATCGGTCCAGCCGTTCCAGAGATTAGAGATTACTACGCAACAGATGAGATAGCTCTTTTTTACCTAGTTCCAATGGTTCCGTTATGGCGATGCTGTAGTTTTTTTTGCTAGGTTCTGATTTGTAATTCTAATTGGAAGAAGAGGAGGACTTCAGTCTTCCTCTTTTCTCTGAAAAAGCCGGAGTCGAGTGGTTACCGTCGCCCATGGACTTCAGTAATGCCAGAGGCAGAGCCAAGCCGCTGCCTACCAAATTCTGCCAGTCAAGTTTGATGGTTTTTTTTCCTACCTAAGCTGATGGTCTAGAGTCTAGAGATACCATATCAGCATAACCTTAACTAGTAGTTGAGCTCACGGGGCTCAAACCTGACGACGTTGCTAACACGAACCCTGGCAAGAGCCGTGCTTCGCAGAATCTACCAACGGATCGGAAACGCGACCCACTGAGAAGATCCGGCGAGAAACTCAGTGGGCTGTGTCTGTGGGTTAATTTACTTTTACGAGAACGATGACTGGTGCTTGCGGTACCTAAAAGCACCGTTAGTGGATCGGGAGGATCCGAAATGACGTGTTTAGGGCGACTGCTTTCCATTCTGTCCGCAGGATCGGGATTGTAGTTACCGGCGGCCACGATGAGAAGGTTCTCGTGTCGTGCCGCTTTCTCGAAATGGCCCATTCAAGCCGACTGTAGATACTTACTAATGGACTCTAGGTCCAAATCGTCATGCAAGTCGATGTTCCTGAGGAACCACGGGGCTCCGACGGCTATCCTACAAAAACGGGATTGTTTGCTTATCTATCGATATCAATACTTTAGTGATGTTCTCGCCTATCAACAGATCACCTATTATTAGCGGAATATTAGATTGTTAACTTCACAAATTTACAATAAGAAACCATGATTTTGAATAATTATTTATTTATTTGTTTTTTTTTTCTTCCTTAATTTACAGATTTTATATTTTTCAAGGCTTATTTTCTCAGGTTCTTCCATTTGTAGTACATGCTTCTCTGTGCGGACGCGTTTTGCTATTTGATTGCACCAATTGAATATACCATACAAGTTATTAGTTCAGTACTGGTGGTAGGACCTCTTGTGAGTCCGCACGGGTAGGTACCACCGCCCCGCCTATTTCTGCCGTGAAGCAGTAATGCGTTACGGTTTGAAGGATGGGGCAGCCGTTGTAACTATACTGAGACCTTAGAACTTATATCTCAAGGTGTGTGGCGCATTTACGTTGTAGATGTCTATGGGTTCCAGTAACCACTTAACACCAGGTGGGCTGTGAGCTCGTCCACACATATAGGCAATAAAAAAAATATAAAAAAAAATAAAAAATTAGTTCAGTTTTCAATAAAAGTAAATAGTTTGAAAAATATCACCAGGTGTTAACGAGCATTATCCATACTAATACTATAACGCTGAAGAGTTTGTTTGTTTGAACGCGCTAATTTCAGGAACTACTGATCCGATTTGAAAAATTATTTCAGTGTTTCATAGCTCATTTATTGAGGAAGGCTATATATAGGTTATATATACATCACGATAAGGCCAATACAAGTGGAGCACCGATAAAGACTGTTTCAACATAGGGGTTTAAATAGCTCCTTAACATTCTATAATTCAAAAATATTTTCACTTTCTACGTAAATGAAGTGGGAGTAAAATTTAGTATTATGCCAAAGTAACTATTCCACACTGACGGAGTCGCAGGCAAAAGCTAGTCAGCTATAACTCATAAAAATTACTTCCATAAAAATTTTGATCTGAAACAAGAAGATTAAAAGAATGGCTTATATTAATTATTGTATTAAAGCATTTTGCACCCAAATTTCAGTTCATAAGGTCAAAATTAAAATTTCTACCAAATTCACTTCAGGAGTCCACCTGATAAAATATTTCAATTATTACAACACTCATATTACTATACCAAGAATGTAGATACTATAACAAAGGTATTTTTAATGTATATGAAGACAAATCGCACCTTTAGAATAATTATTGTAAGTGGCTTAACTGAAAATTTTAAGAATTAGTTTTCTCCTTTGAATGGCTTATAAACATGTATTCTATCAGATTATAAAATTAGATATTTAAAATAAAAAATTAAATAGAAAATTTTTGCCTAGAAAAGCGCAAAGTACACTTTCTATCTCTTTTAAATAAAGCTCATACCTTAAACTTTAAACTATGCACTTTAAGTCTTAAAGTATTAAAATCAAAACTGAACTGAAATCTGGCAAGAAACTCAGCGGGCTGTGTCTGTGAGTTAATTTACTCGCCGAGCCCTTCGTCGCAACTGACAGGTTCGATGAGATCGATGGCCGGGATCTCCTCAGCTCGCCTAGAGAAATAACAAAATTATATATACAGTCAAAATCTGTTATAACGACATCGAAGGGACTGCTCATATTCAGTCGTAAAAACCGATAGTCGTAACAACCGGTGATGTTTAATGTGTATTGTGCAAGTACAAACAAATCGATAGGGAATTATTGGAAAAATATATTTATATAATACGGGATTTTTCTTCAATATTAATTTGTTTTATTTTTCTTTGCGACATTTTGAAAGTTTCACGAATAACTCCACAAAGTTTTGGTGCGTCTTGTGTATAGATAAGTAACAAACTAACTGAAGAGATATGAAGAAGCGGGCTTTGACTACCGCATGAAAGTGTTTTGTTTCT